CGTCAGGGGCTTCGTTCATAATCCTTGCGATAATCAGAAATGACAAGTTCTCTTCACCCAAGTATAATACATATTCTGGGAATAAGATAGATGCCAAGCCTCATACTGATCCTACCAGTTCTTGGTGGTGGTTGATACGCAGGCCGGCTACGGTCATCCCATTGACAACCCTTGATGCTGAAGTGGTTGTAAGAGGACACATTTTCTCAAGGCCACCTCTCGTTGCCCATATTCTGTGTTCCACATGCTCGAAAACAAATGCATCGGCTTCTCACTCCGTGGGGTCGAACCAAAGCATTTGCCTCATTTCACAGCCTCCGACTCCATTTTGTACACTTTTGTCTGGATTCAATACGGTTATCCAATTTGATTCCTCAAGAACTCAAAATCCAGGTCATCTCGTTCTGGTTCGGCCACATTCTCAGAACATACCTGCTACACGCTTAAACTAAATCAATGGAATACAAAAGTACAATCGAAATATCTCATATAAAATTAAGGGAAAAAAGCATACATAGTAAGCTGTTACAACACCGGTGGAGTCACCACCGACCTGCTTCATTTTCATGCTAACCACCTGAATCTGTATCTTTGCTTGGTTTGAAACTCGCAACCTATACTAACAGATAGAAACAGATTAAGATCATGGATTCGAATCGAGTTTTTGAACCAGAAACTAGTTTTCAGTCAATCAAATTGTATTACCAGTTACAACTTCATCTTCATCACTCCATAACCTTCTTTTAAACATGCCAGATCATGCCTATGATCGTACGTATAGATTAATGTTAAGTATATCAACAAAACTATAACTTAATCGATTCATGCAACCATGTCTTTAAAATCAATCAAGTCCGTGTTTAAATTTCAGAATCAACAAGCCTTTTTTTACTGTGATTTTTGGCTCGGTTAAATGAAGTAAACTAAACAAGTTCAGTTACTAATTCAAACAATCCTGTTCGTTCGTTTATTGTGAGCAATGGGAAGAAGGAAGCAGAAGAAGAGGCCAAGTAATTTACAAGTAAAATAAAAGTATTTTACGAAAAGGTCATCGATGACAGTTTGGCCGAGTGGTCTAAGGCGCCAGATTTAGGCTCTGGTCCGAAAGGGCGTGGGTTCAAATCCCACAGCTGTCAGGATTATTCCATTGTTTTTGTGCTTCACCCAAGCATGTCTAGCAACGTCGTTTTACAAAACTGAAGGTCAAGGAAGTCAAGTCAACGTCTTCTTGTCCAGCCAGTCTGAAAACGAAAACTCTAGTTCTTTATCGCCAAATCCCCCAATCCCAAAGCCTAGCAATGGCGATCTGTCTCACTCCAACTTATCTCTTATTGCTTTCCAGTTTAACATTTTTCTCTTCGTTTCAATTCCCACTGCCGAATCGGAATCGGAATCGGAATCGGAACTCGTAGCCGATCTCCTGGCTCTTCAGTCCAAATCCAAATCGGGAGTCATCCACTTAGACGAGCGAACCATTGCCAAATTCCTAACTTCCCCCAAAACCCCTCGCCCATACTCCCTCTTCATATTCTTCGACGCCACCCAACTCCACGACAAATTCGAACTCCATCTCCCCTAACTCCGCCGAGAGTTCGCCCTCGCTCCTCTTCCTTCATCACCAACCACAACAACTCCAACACTAACCTCTTCTTCGCCGACATCGAGTTCCGCGAATCCCAATCCTCTTTCCACCTCTTCGGCGTCAACTCCCTCCCCCACATCCTTCTCGTGGACCCCACGCCAAATCGTTGAAGGATGACTCCGTGCAGATGGACCAGGGCGATTTCTCTCGATTGTCTGAGTCCATGGCCGAGTTCGTCTAGTCGAGAACTAAACTCACCGTGGGTCCCCTCCATCGTCCTCCCATTCTCTCGAAAACGCCAATGGGTCCCATCCTTGCCCTTTTGTTGATCTCTGCTCCGTTCGTCACTGAAAAGATCTTCACCGGCGAAACGTTCTTACACGATCCCAAGAACTGGCTTACCGGCGCCGTTTTTGTGTATTTTTCAGTGTTTCAGGTGCAATGCATAATATAATTAGGAAAATGCCGATGTTTCTGCTGGATAGAAACGACCCGAACAAACTGATTTTCTTTTACCAAGGATCGGGGATGTAGCTCGGAGCGGAAGGGTTCGTGGTGGGTTTTCTATATGCAATTGTGGGATTGTTGCTTGCTTCCGTCACCCATTTGCTTGTTTATGTTAAGAACACGAAAGCCAAGCGTGTGGCGATGCGTTTTGCGATTTTTGTTTCCTTTTGGGCGGTGCAGAAAGTGATTTTCTTGGACAATTGGAAGACTGGACATGGGATTCATGGTTTCTGGTCAACCAGTTGGAATTAAAGGCAATGCCTTTTTTGTTTCCTAGGCTGCTATAATTCGAACTACAGTTTCGATATTTGGAGAATTTAGTTGAGAATTTGATATCAATTTTATAATGTTACTTTGTTATAAGCTCACATCTTTGCATGAAAAAAATACATTTGCTATAAGATTTTCTGATGTTCATCATAGTGTTCTGTCGAGTTCTATCTGTTACTTGTCTCTGCAGGTTTCTAAATTTAGTGAAGATTCTTTGTTTTACAAGTTTAGGTTTGATCTTTATCGTTAGCCGTGTGATGCAGTTCTTTCACTTTATGCATGAAAGCTTATGCGCATCAGGTATAATCTTTATAGAGGATTAGATTTGCTGTCCTTATTATCTATTTATTCATGTCTTCTTTTGTCAATCTGTTTTTCTGGTGTTCCGTCGAGTTATCGCTGTTATTTTTCTGCTGCACATGGTTTCTAAATTTCTCAGGGATTCTTTGTTTTACATGTTTAAGTTTGATCTCTATCGTTAGCCTTATGATGTCAGTTCTCTCAGTCTATGCATCAGGTGTAATCTTTATGGAGGATTAGATTTGCTGCCCTTACTATCTATTTATCCATGTCTTCTTTTGTGCTCAATAATCTTAAATTCTTAGTACATTCTGTTCTCTCGTTACTGATGTTATTTTTCTATTAAAGCATGGATTGGAAAATATTTTGTAGGATTTCATATTTTGAGCTGCAAGTAGCGATGTTGACTATGAGAGGAATAGTTTAGGTTTGGAAAAGTTAATTATGTCAAAGGGCAGGTAGCCCTTTGACATTGCTGCCGAGTATCAGGACCAACAGCTGTTTGTTAGTACTGAGTTTCATGATCCCCTGGACTATGCTTCAATGGCTCGGTTTAGTCATGCCATTTGACACATTTTACCTGCCCTGACTCTTCTTAGGAGTTGTTTACTACGGCTAAGTTTGCCGAGTAATACTCTTGTCATCTCAGTCGCATGTGAAGCCTGAGGCTTTTGATTATCAATAGCCACATTTGGAGAGGTAAACCTCTGTTTTGTGATGTCCATTCTTCCAAATGACTACATACCGACTTTGAAGGCCTTTCCCCCCCTTCTTATGGCTTATGCTCCGTGTAGCCGCAGGGTGCAATATTCCATGGAACCAGAATATGTGTCAGCAAACTGTTTAAGTGGTTTAGGTTATTTTGATATAAATTTGCAGATTATAATTCCATTCCCCATCTAATTGTTTGTTTGGGGTTACTATTCATATTGTGTCTAAATTTTCAAAAGTATGATTCTCAATTCTTTCTTAAAGATTTGAGTTAACTCCAAATATTTCTTCGGAATTGGTGAAGGATTCCAGTTGAATCGCCATTAGTTTGCTCAAGAGGTTTGCTTGAGAGGGTTGGTATGCAAGGAACAAATTCAGTTCCAACTCCCATGGTCTTCTCTCACATCTCACAAAGGATGAAGGAGAGTTGTTATCTATGCAGCTATATCGTAGTTACGGGTGTAAATAAATATAACATTCAATCAACTGTTTGTAAATTGTTCAAATAACATTTGTTCATTAAGTTAAATAATTAAGTATGAACCAAGTTTTTATGGAATTTAATAAATGAACGAACACAAGCAAATGTTTGTTCAATTCGTTTATGTTCATGGACAAGCTATATTGGAAGTTTGTTTATCGGCTCGTTTATAATATTGTTTTCCTCGTGCTCTTTTTCTTTTTATTTTTTTTACATTTTAAATATTGATGAATGTAGGGATTAAATTGAATACAAGATGAATTTTGGAGTTCAAATTGTGAAGCATAAAGAATTTAAGGACTGATGGTATAGTTTCATATTTTGTTGGGATTGCAAATAAAGGATAAAAGGAGTGTTGGTTGGATACTTGAACCATATAAATGAACATGTTTATACATGTTTGATGAATGGGTTTGATGAATGGTAAATCGGACATATTGGCGAACATATAAATGAATTTGTTTGTGAATCTTAAATGGGTATTTACACACTAAATGAATCGAACATTAACATTTTAAAAAATAAGTAAATGTACAAGAATCATCCATGAATATTTAAAAATAAACAAATAAATATGAATATAATCTTATTCAAACTATAACAATAATTTTTAATCAAAATAACACCCTAATAGTTTAGGATTTAGTATTCAATGTTGTATTTTTATTTGATTCATTAAAGATTCATGAAATCATGTATTATTAGTGAATTAAATTTTAACTTATATATATTTTATTTTAATTTTCTCTTGATTTTAACACATCGTAATATTTATTTATTTTAAAATAAAAATGTTAATATTTGTAGTTTAACAAAAAACAAGTTACTATCCTAGCAAAATAATTCTTGGTTTTTTTTTTCCTTTAACATTGACATTTTGATGGGTAAAACCTACGGTTGTTTAAGTTAAAACTAAACAAAATTATGTATTATTCAATCACTATCCCACAACAAATAATTGTTCACAAATCTTGTGGTTTCTTAATCAAAACTAACCCTTCTCTCTTCCTTCTTATATCCTCCATACAACGCCTCTCTTCATCAAACTTCCAACTTTCCTTTTCTGTTTCCCTTGTTTGTTTCTCGAGAAAGAATCCTCCGTTCGCATGCTTTGTCGATCATTCATCAAAAGTGATTGCTAACAACATCATGTCTTGCAAGATCAAAGGCATCTACAAAGGTTTCAAGTCCATTTCCCACATCTTTGGTAATGCTCTTTTCGTCCCTCTTTAAACACACAATCAATATGAATGCATTGTATTTGAACATGGTTTCTCTGGGTTACTTTCGTTTGTAGCTGCAAAGGAGCGAGAGATGGAAATTGGGAACCCGACAGATGTTAAACATGTGGCACACTTCGGCTGTGATCACCCTTCCACCATTGCTCCCAGTTGGGTATGTTCAATATTTTGGTTCAAAAACCACAATTTGTGTAGACCAAACTGTGTTGTGTTCATCTCTTAATTGTTAAACCTTCCTGAAATTTAATACAGATGGATGAATTCAAGATTGGTACCGACAGAACTGCAAAATCAACCGACGGCAAGACCAGGGTTTCTCATCCGATAACTCTTTCAACACGGCCCTCTCATGGTATTGATCAATCGATGGAGTCAGAAACAGCAACAGAGATGAAGAGAATCCGGTCTTGCACCGATCTTCCGAGTGTTACGATGAAACGAAGAAGGAGAAAGAAGAGCACTTCCTTTTCCGAGTCTTCTTCCACGAAATCTCGACGACGATTATCGAAGACGAAGGCAACATCCTTCGAAATATAGACGTCATCATGCATGCATGGTTATTTCTTCTTCATATTTAAGATATCCATGAAGACCAAAGAATCTTGGAATTAATCTCAACAAAAATTAGAATTACTAAGTAACATAAAAAGTTGTATTGTATTCGGTTGGTAAAGTTATATACTATGACTGGATTCTGTTAAGCTTGTAAAGGAATCTAATTATTTTCTTGTTATGGATGAAAATAATAATTTACTTGACTTTGATATTTTAGTATCTTATTCTTGTTCTTTACTCAATGTGACACCAGCATGCTCCTCTTCCTCTTCACCTTCTTATAGATCTTATTCACTTGATTGCAATGCCTCATTATTCCTAAAGTTCTTGAGTTCGAGTTCGAGTGTGTGCAGAAAATTCCGGTTAAGAAATTCACCCACCAAAATCAGGTGTGTAGCGGATCGATCTAAATTAGTTAAGGTGAAGCCTTAGAATAGGGAGGACAACCAATTTTTTTTCCACAACTACCATAAATACATATTTTTCCTCTTAATCTTGGATTGATCCTCTACAAATTTTATAGAGATATCAACTCAAACTCTAAAAATACTATTTTCTTCCCTTGTTTGTTTCTCAAGAAAGGGTTCCCCCCCTTTCTCTCTGTTTAATTAGGAGTTCCCATGTATTGCATGTTTTCTCGAGTGCCCTTAATCAGAAGTGATAGTAGGCAATATGAAGCATGAAACCTTGTATCAATGCGTCCGTCTTAAATCTTGCACCTATACTTGTCACATGTAAATTCCCCTCCAAATTGGTACCTTCAACATCCCTTCACTGTTTCGAACGGCTGTTCCGTTGGGTTCCGAATCCGACATCATGGCCGGCAAGATCAAAGGCATCTACAAAGGTTTCAAATACATTTCCCAAAATCTTTGGTGAGACCCTTTTCTGTCTTTCTTTGACATACATTAATTAATATGAATGTCATTTGAGCATGTTTTCTCTTTTTCTTGGGGTATTTGTGATTCTAGTTGTGAAAGAGCGAGAGATCGAAATTGGGCACCCGACAGAAGTTAAACATGTGTCACACATTGGTCTGGATCACTCTTCCGCCGTTGTACCCAGTTGGGTATGTTTCAATATTTGATTCAAAAACCACAATTTGTTTAGACCAAACTGTGTTGTGTTTATCTCTCAATTGTTGGCTTGTCCTGGAATTGTATGCAGATGAATGAATTCAATAATGTGTTGAAAGTATTAAAATGGTTTTCAAGTTTGGTAACCAACTTTGAAAAATTGGTTTTCAAAGTTTGGTAAATGTTTCTTTGAAAATGGTTTTCAAAGTTTGGTAAATGTTTCTTTGAAAAATAGTTTGATAGATGTTTGTTGAAAATAGGAATGGGTAAATTCACTTTAGTCATTGCACTTTAGGGTATTTTCAAAGATTAGTCCCTAAGTCTCAACTATAAATACCCTAGCTCATTTAGCTTCAAAATCATTCCAAAATCCCAAAAATCATTTATTTCTCCCAATACTAGAGAGTTTTCTTGTGAGTAGTGAGTGTTTTATAAACACCTGTAAATTTTCTCTCTTAGTAAAAGATCTGCAGCAGTCCGGAGACGTAAGCACAATTGGCTGAACTCCGTTATCAATTTCGGGTATTATTTTTCCGCTTTTATTTCACATTCTCACTAATCTGGTTATAGAGAAATTACTCGTACTCGGTTTATTTTCCAACAACTGGTATCAGAGCTTTTGCTTGTGAATTTTGTCAATTTTTTGTGAGGTTACTATTCATATGAATAGTAAATTTTGTGAATAGTAAAATTTTGCCGACAATACGAATTTGTCGACGGAGGTGTTCTAATACACGGTGGTTCGCAAGAATTGTCAGAAACGATTCAAACGAAACCAGATTCGAGTGGGAACAATGGCTGCAGACGAAGGGAAGATGAAAATTGAAAAGTTCGATGGTGCGGACTTTGGCTTTTGGAAGATGCAGATTGAAGATTTTCTGTACCAGAAAAATCTATATCAACCTCTCTCAGGAAAGCAACCAGAGGGCATGAAGAATGAAGACTGGGCTCTTCTCGACAGACAACCCCTCGGAGTTATCCGACTGACGTTATCCCGCAATGTTGCTTTCAACATAGCAAAGGAAAAGATAACGGCGGGTCTTATGGCGCCTCTCTCCAGTATGTATGAGAAGCCATCAGCCTCAAACAAAGTGTACTTGATGAGACAATTATTCAATTTGCGGATGACGGAAGGGGCATCGATGACACAACACCTAAATGAACTCAACTCAGTTGAGTTCAGTGGAAATTGAATTCGATGATGAAGTTCGAACTTTAATTCTCTTATCATCTCTACCAGACAGTTAGAATGCTATTGTTACAGCAGTTAGCAGCTCGTCGGGAAATAGTAAATTGAAATTCGACGATATTCAGGATCTGGTATTGAGCGAAGAAATTCGACAGAGAGAATCGGGTGAAGCATCAACCTCCTCAGCCTTGCACACGGAGTCCAGAGGGAGAACTTCATAAAGAAATTCAAATCATGGCAGATCGAAATCCAGACGGGGAAAATCCAGAACTGGAAAGAAAGATTTACCTGTTATAATTGTGGCAAGAAGGGTCACTTTAAAAGAGATTGTCGAGCACTGAAGAAAAATATTGGCGCACAGGAATCTGCCAACGTGACAGAGGAGACAGGTGATGCCATGATTCTAAGCGTCAACAGTCCGATTGAATCATGGATCTTGGATTCAGGAGCATCTTTCCACTCCACCCCATGCCGAGAAATCATGGAAAATTATGTTAGTGGTGATTTTGGGAAGATTCATCTAGCTGATGATGAAACCTTGAAGATCGTTGAAAAAGGAGACATCCGACTAAAGTTGCCAAACCAGACCACCTGGACGCTGAAAGGAGTGAGAAATATTACTGGCCTCAAAAGAAATTTGATTTCTGTAGGACAGCTTGATGGTGAAGGATTTAGCACAACCTTTTCAGGTTGTGAATGGAAGATTAGCAAAGGAGCACTCGTCATTGCTCGTGGTAAGAAAATTGGTACTATCTATATAACCTCAAATTTAGAGAATATCATTACAGTAGTAGATACTGATGGAAAATCAAACCTATGGCACCAAAGGCTTGGTCATATGAGCAAGAAAGGGATGAATACACTTTTGTCAAAGGGGAAGCTGCCGGATCTAAAGAATGTAGATGTCGAACTATGCAAGGATTGCATCTTTGACAAACAAAAGAAAGTCAGCTTTGCAAAGATCGGTAAGACACCCAAGGTTGAAAAGTTAGAGTTGGTTCATACTGATGTATGGGGACCATCTCAGTTACATCTATTGCAGGCTCATTATATTATGTCACCTTCATTGATGATTCTACAAGGAAGGTGTGGGTTTATTTTCTGAAGAAGAAATCAAAAGTCTTTGATACCTTCAGAAAATGGAAGGCCATGGTGGAAAATGAGACTGGTCTGAAAGTGAAGCGGTTGAGGTATGACAATGGAGGAGAGTACATAAATCGTAGATTCAGAGATTTTTGCGCAAATAATGGGATCAAGATGGAGACAATAGTTCCCATGACACCGCAGCAGAATGGCATAGCAGAGCGCATGAACATAACTCTGAATAAACGTGCCAGAAGCATGAGGATACATGTCGGATTACCCAAATTTCTATGGGCTGAAGCTATCAACACTGCAGCTTACCTGATCAACCGTGGGCCCTCAGTTCCTTTGGATGGCAAAATACCAGAGGAAGTTTGGAGTAAGAAAGAAATAAACCTTTCACACTTAAGAGTGCTTGGTTGTATTTCTTATGTACACATAAATTCTGCTGAAAGAAGTAAACTTGATGCTAAGTCCAACAAATGTTCCTTTGTTAGTTATGGCGGTGATGAGTTCGGTTACCGGTTTTGGGACTACGAAAATCGAAAGATCATCAGAAGCAGAGATGTCATTTTCAATGAGAATGTTATGTACAAACACAGGTCAACTGTAGAATCAAGCAGCTCCAATACCAAAGCTGAAACAAAGGAATTTGCTGAGTTTGAGGAGATTTCTGGAAATGATGTTCAGATCAGTCTTGAAGCAGTTCAAGAAGAACCAGGCACACCGAAACTAATACGCTCCTCCAGAATTCCTAAACCAACCCAACGGTATTCTCCTTCTTTGCACTACTTGTTGGTGACTGACAATGGTGAACCAGAGTGCTATGATGAAGCAATGCAAGTGGAGGATTCAGTCAAGTAGGAGTCTTCCATGAAAGATGAGATGGACTCGCTTATGTCAAATCAGACGTGGGAATTAGTTGAATTACCACCAGGTAAGAAAACACTTCACAACAAGTGGATTTACAGGATCAAAGAAGAGCGTGATGGGAGCAAACGCTACAAAGCGAGATTGGTTGTCAAAGGTTTTCAGCAAAAAAAAGGTATTGACTACAATGAAATTTTCTCTCCAGTCGTGAAACTGTCTACAATCAGACTGGTGTTGAAAATTATAGCTGCAGAGAATTTACATCTTGAGCAGTTAGATGTAAAGACAACTTTCCTTCATGGTGATTTGGAGGAAGAAATCTATATGAGGCAGCCAGAAGGCTTCATAGAGACAGGCAAGAAAAACCTGGTATACAGGTTGAAGAAGAGCTTGTATGGTTTAAAACAAGCTCCTAGACAGTGGTACAAGAAGTTCGATAGTTTCATGAGTAGCAGTGGTTTTACCAGATGCCAAGCAGATCATTGTTGCTACATCAAGAGGTTCGATAATAGCTTCATTATTTTATTGTTGTACGTTGATGACATGCTCATTGCAGGCTCAGATATGCAAGAGATTATAAAATTGAAGCAAAAATTGTCAAAGCAGTTTGCTATGAAGGATCTGGGCGCTGCAAAGCAGATTCTTGGGATGAGAATCAAGAGAGACACAAAGTCGGGGACTTTGATATTATCACAGGCTGAGTACATCAACAAAGTACTCTCCAGGTTCAACATGCAAGATGCTAAACCAGTAAGTACACCTTT